ATGTTACTTGTAATTTATTAGTTCTTTTTTAATTTTCTTTCAGTGAATCAGTTAAAATAAAATGAAAAAAGCACTAAATTGTATTTTCAATAACTTAATATAACTTGTCATATCTATAAGATATTTTGTTGGTTATGAACTTATTTTATACTGTACAAAATTTTTTATTGAAAGGGATTAAATATAACGTTAAGAATTTTTAATTCATGCCTTATTATTTCTCTACATTTCTTCTGTTAGTTTTTGGTTGTATGTTTTTGTAATAGATGGAGTGTATTGGTACTCACTTTTTTATGTTGACTCTTTTGAAAATATAATTAAGATATGTTTTTATAACTCTTTTTATTTTAAACAATTAAAATAAATTCTTATTAAATTATATTATCACAGAAATTATATTTGTTACATAGACAGGGAAGTTATTTTATTGTAATTGATATAACAGAAGAGTTAGATAATTCAAAAGAGATTTAAAAAGCCAATAGCAATAAAAGTCATCAATATAACCATAAAACATAAACAAAAATATAAAAGTATTTGAATCTAAAGAAAAAAAACTTCAGAGTAGAAATGACAATAAAGCCAATAGTTATAACTATTATCAAAGCACTTGAATTAATAAAAGTCTTTAATTTGGGTGAGTTTTTAAGTCTTTTTTTTATGTAAGATGATGAGAAAATTGATTTTGAAGAGTAAAAAGATAAAAAAATAACAAAAAAAAATCTTTAAATAAAACTATATTAATGGAGAAAATAGTAAACCTTCTAACAAATATTGAACAAGGGATTGATATTGTGGAGAATATGAAAGAATTAGAAATTAGTATTTCTGATGATAAAAGCAATCAAATTAAAATGTATTGTATTCAGAAAGGATTGATTGAATTTTGTTCAAACAAAATGGAAGATTTCAAAAGTATGAAAAGAGAATGTTTATGTGGTATGTGTTCTTTGTTAGTGTCAGTACTAATGTATAGTGAAGTTGCTAAAAAGAAGATGATTACTTGTGGTATTGGAAAAAGTGTTTGTGAGATAATTCGGGTTATTCATTATCATGATGAAACAATAACAAATATAACATTAAATGATCTTCTTCGACTATGTTGGGGGTTAATGACTGTTGCAGATTTTACTGTGAGAAGAAGTTTAGTAACAAAGAATAATATTAAAAAGGTTTTAAAAAGCTATGATAGAATTACTGATGATGAGACAACTGTTACAGCCTTAAATTTAATGTCAGCGTTAAGCATTGACGACTATGTTATACCTTTTTTTGTTTCTACTGGAATGATAGAACAATGTATTAATTTAGGAAAGAAATGGATGAACTCAGCCAATGTAATGAAGGCTTTATGTATTTTTATAGCTAATACTATTTTCACAGAAACAGAGTATGCAGTAGCAAAGAAAGTTGGTGTAAATACCTTATTAATTAATATTACAAATAATTTCAGTTCTAATGATGAAGTTATTAGTAGTCTCATTTCTGCAATTCGATCTGTTGCAAACTCAAGTGATGAAGCAAGTCAAGAATTTATTAACACTGGAATTTATCAACAACTCTTTACTGTTGCACAGGGGAAATCAGTTTCTATTCAAGAAAAGTTAATGAATTTCCTTTTTTTCATTTCTCAAAACCAGAGTGGTTGTTTAATTCAAATGAATGTTGTTCCTTATATTACTCAAACATTAAAACAAATGTGTGATTCTCAACCATTACTTGATAAGTCAAAAGAGTCTTTATTACCATTAATGAGAAATATCCTTGGAATTCTTCTTCATATTTGTTTTGATGAAAGTCAGGTTGATGTAGTAATCAACTCAGGTATTCTATCTATTCTTCATCAAGCTATGGAATTAACAATTCATGACAAAGTATGTCAATCAACAGGATGTTCTATTATTCAATGTCTTGCTCTCAAGGAACAAAACAATCAAGTATTGTTCAAGAATGGATTAGTTGATGATGTTGTAATTGCTCTTGAAAAACATTTAAAGAAAAAGGATGTTGCTCTTTCTGCTATTGGAGCTGGGATTAATCTTGCTCAAAATGGAGAGTGTGCAAATGAGTTAGTTGAAAAGGGAATTGTTGATTTGTTTATAACATTACATAAACGATTCCCAGAAAAAAAGCAATTAAATTCTAAAATGATAACTTGTGTTATGAACATTCTAATAGATGAAGTAGTTGCTAAAAAAATTTCTGAACAAACATTACCATTTGTCCAAGAAATATTATTAACATATTCTCATGAACAAAGCATTGTATTACAGTGTTTAAGTTGTATTATATCATTGGTAAAGGCTGAAGTTACATCTTCAAAAGTAATTATATCATTAGAAGATCTTTTTAAGAATCTTGATCTTAACGACAAACAAATTAACAATAAATTGCTTCAACTCATATGTTCTATTTCAGTTAATAAGAAATTAGCATTAACATATATTACAAGTGGAACTATTGAATTTGTTATCTCAAATGCAAAACGGTTATTTGATTATAAAGACATTTTCTTAAATTCAACAGCTTGTCTTATTAATTTCTCATGTTATAATGAACTTCATCCATTATTATTAAAACCATCATTATTTCTTCTTTTCAATGAAGCGGCAACAAAATACGGTGGAGATGCTAAGGTTTGTGGAGTTATTTCTAATTGCTGCAAAAATTTGAGTATTTTAGAATCCTCAAGAAAAATTATCATAGCAAACAATTTCCAAACAACAATTGCACAAATACTAGCTAAACATCGTACAAATGAAGATATTTTTAAGGCTTGTATTGGCTGTTTATGGAATTTATCAATTGATCCTGCTGTAACTCCTCAAATGATTGAATTAAATGTAATTCATTTCTGTAAAAGAGCATTAGAAGATACTTTCAAAACAAATCAGCAAGTATTAAATACAATAATTGGATTTTTAATGGTAGTTAGTAACAATGAACAAGCTCGTATGCAAATTAAGTCAGAGTGTCTCTCTGCAATATCTGGGATACAAATTAGTGACTCAAGTCTAAAACAACGCCAAGAAAAATTAATTCAAAAGATAACCTCATAAATAAAGTTTAAAATAATTCAAATGATTCTTTTTTTTTTCAATTTATTAAATGGACTTAATAGCTTCTTTAATCATTGAAGCTTTTGAAGGACAAACGCTAGCATATGTGTTGCATAATTCCTTTCTTAATACAACTAAATCTTCTGTTGTTTCAATAGAAAATCCGTCCATTTTCAAAAGAGTTTTAAATTGAGTATCATTGTCTGGAAGGAATTTTAACATCGTGGCTAATGCTCTAACTAATAATTGGTAATATTCTTGTGCTAATGGAATTAATTGGAAACATTGATTATAAATATCAAAATATAATGTTTCAACAACCCAAGTTGTACCTTTTTTTGTTTTTGCCCATAATTCTTTTCCTTCATTCCATTTCTTTGGTTCAATAGTATCAACACAAGTAATTAGTAATTGTAAATAAATTTTGATTTTAGTAGAATTAGTTCCTGCACCACTTAATCCTTTTTGAATTTCTTTCAATAAAGTATCAATCTTAAGGTCATATTCAATCAAATACTTGTACATCTCAATAGCTACTTTACAAACTGATTCATCTCCTTCACTTAATAATTTATTCAAAGTAATTGTAATTGGTAATACAAACGTTTTAACTTTTCCACGATGTTGTGCGGTAGCAAAAATAGTTTGTAACAATGTGAGTAATTTAATCTTATGAGAAGATTCACATTGTTTAGAAATAATATTAATCAATGGACCAAGTATATTATCTCTATGTTTAGTAAATTCTGAATCATTTTCGTATCTTTTCAATAAGACTATTAATGATCTAATCGCTTGTTCTTTTGTCTCTGTTAAAGCATTCTTAAGTGTATCAATTTCAACTCTAACTAATGGCCCAATGTCTTTTGGTAATACAAGTACAGCAGTTTCTGGTGTTTGACAAGCATCTTGAATCATTGGTGCAAGGGCATTAATATAAATGTAATACTTATCATTTGTAACTTTCATATGCATTTGTTCAAAACAATCCCAGACATAAGGAACAACATCTTGATCTTTTTCATTTCTAATTAGCCCCATTAAGAATGAGATAATTATATCCATTCCAACACTTGATTGTGTAGTTTGTAACTTGAAATAGGATGAGAGAATACGTAATGTTTCAATTTTAATAATTGATCGTTGATATGAAGCAATATAATCTCCAAGAGTACTAAATAATTTGTCTTTAGATGGATATTCTAAACAAATTTCAATCATCATCTTTCTAATCTTTTCACAATAACTTTCTTCTGTATATTTACTAGCTAATGAATTAAACCCTCGTTGAAGAATAAGATTGAAGTTTTGTAAGAAGAATTGTTGTGATGACTTACATAAAATAGTTAATGGTTTACAGTTGGCAATAGTTATTGGTACTTGAAGTACTTTTGGTGTTAAAGTTTCAAAGATTAATTCATTTGTATGATTCTTATCAATAATCATTTGAAGTCCTCTAATTCCCTTTTGCATTTGTTCTTCATCATTAATAAATCCTAATAAAATATCAAGAATAGCTTCTAATGATGGTTTGTCATATTTTCTAATAATTACATTAAACAAATGATTAGACTCTTCTCTAATAGCATCAACTTCATCACACATTAATTCAACTAATTGTGGTAATACTCCTTTAAATTGTTCAAATGTTGTTAATGAACTTTTTCTTATAACTTCAACAAAACCATTACATGCACCAATTCTATCTAACTCATTACTACTGTTCAAATGGCTTTGGAGTGTTTTAATTAATTCCTGAACAATTTTACTTTCAAATAAATCAACTAATTCACCAAGACAACGTGCTGCTCTCTTTCGATCTTTCTCTTCAAGGCATAACTTCTTTGTTGCAATTTTCATAATATATGGAATCAAATCACTAAGAGCCCTACCTGCATTAATAATAACTTTCTTCCATACCAATGTAGCCTTTTGACAAATTTGGTGTTCTTCATCAAATCTAATCAAATACAAATTAGCCAAACATTCTCCAATTTTCTCTAATCCTAACTTTCTCTTAAGAAGAACGTATGGCTCCAAACTAGCATCATTTGTATCAACCATTCCTTCAAGTAATTCTCCAATTAAGTTAATTGCACACTCTTGTACTTTTGGTGAATCACTATAAATAGCACTATCCAATGTCTCAAGAAGTTTCTTTAAATGAGTCTTACCAAACTGTCTTACAAGAACTGAACCTGCTTTCATTGCTGCATCTCTAACTAATTCACTTGAATCACTTAATCCCTTTACAATAAGTAATAACCCTTCTCCGATGAAATCACTAAATCTTTCTTTAAGAGCAGAACAGAAGTAATACAATAAGTACATGACAGACTGTCTTGATGTAATAACTGGGTTCTCTAAATTAGTAATAGAGTTGAAATCTTCTCTTAATTGTTCCTCTCCAACAGCACGATAATATTCAGCTAATGCTTGTGCAGCACCAAGTCTATGAACAGTAGATTTTGTAGATTGTAATGTTTCAATAATCCATTGTTTAACACCTGGGAATGCTTGTTCTCCAACAAATTGTATTAATGAACCAATTGCATTAGAAGCAGCAGCTCTTACTTCAGGATCATTATCAGTAATATTTTTCTTCAATTCTGGAATAAAGATATCCAAATATGGAAGGAAATCATCTACATCACATAAATTAGTTAAAGATGATATCAACAATGCAGACTTAGCTCTAATTAAATGAGTTGGATCACTTAATCCTCTTAACAAAATGTAATGAATTAATGCAAGAGAACTAGAATCAATCAAGTGAGTAAATTGCATCTTTTCAAAGTGTTCATAAAATTCTGGTGTGTTTTGTGGTGGATTTTCTAAGGCATCAAGAATAGATGGGATAAGTGATGAAATTTCAGGATTCTTAATAACACTAGCTAAATTATTTAATGCTTCACTGGCTGCTTCACTAACGTTAGCATCAGAATCAATCATCAAATTTACTAATGGAGTTATAATCTTTGGTAAATAAGCATCAAGTTGATGAGTTGTTTGTTTAGCCATTTCTCCTAATAACAAACAAGAAATTCTTCGTTCTCTCCATTCATTTGATTTCAATCCATCAATTAAATGAGGTACTGTAACTCCAATGCCGTGATGAGTTAAAACAGAACTCATAGACCTAACAGTAGCAGAGGCTTGTAGTCTTAACTCTTGATTTGCCTCACTAACAATAGGTCTAACTAAATTAAATACATCAATGATATATGGTTCAAAAATATCTCCCATAATTTCACAAATACATTGTAATGTAATTAAAGCTGTCATATTAATATTTAAATTCTCTCCTTCAGTACATCTTTTTCCTTTTTTATCAACATCAAATTTTTCTAATGGTCTCTTAATAAATCTATCATAAAATTTACATGTAAACATAACTCCTAATCCATGTGCCTTGCAAATACCAGCAATTGAATATGCAATTCCCCTTTTAATTTCAAAATTCTTTTGTCTTAAACATTGAGCATACATCTTTTCTAACATACCTTGAACATTAGGAATATCTGTAATATTTGCAAAACAATTACAAACAGCCATTTGAACTTCTAAAGATGGTTTAACTGATAAATCTCTTAATTGTTGAATAATGTCATTGAATTTAGGATTGTCTCGTTCCAAATATTTAGCAATCATTCCAAAGAATAATCCTACCATTTCTATTTCTTTATCATTTTTCTTTCCTTTTTCTTTTTTAATACTTACTAAAATATCATAAATTTGCTCAGCTTCTGCTCTACTTCTACTGGAAAACATATTTTCTCCTTGCTCTTCAACTAATTCTGGAATTGGCTCTTCATCATTAGTAAGTTTCTTAATAGCAAATGGAAGTAATTCTTTCATGTCTTCTACAGAACATAATCCTCCTAATTTCATAATTACAAATGTGCAAAATCTTCTTCTTAAGAATTTACTTCTGATAATAAGATAATCTTTAGCAACACCCGGTACTAAAGTAATATCTGGGAAACTGTTGTCATACTCGTTCATTGTAACTTTTAATAATTCTCCACAATTATATTTTCCAATCTTAGCAATAGAATAAATGGAAGTAGCAATCATGTCTTGAATATCAATATTTTCATTTAAGCAAATTTCATCTTTTTTATAATATTCAACAAAGCTTTGATCTGGAATTCTGAAATCTTCTGGAATTTTTACTTCAACACCAGGTTCTTCACAATACAAATGAATAGTCTTCATAACTGATCTACAGGCGTTAGAAACATCTTTAATTTGATCATGTCCTCCAAGATATAATTTACATAATTCTTCATGATCAATTTTTTTAGCTCTTAAATATTCTTTGCTTCTATCTAAAGCAACAGCATTATATCTTCTAGTATTTTCTTCTTCACTTAATAAGTTATTAAAGATATATTGAAGTGTTTTATTATCTGAAACTTTAACAATTTGTTCTAAACAAGTTAATGTCTTTTGAACAAAACGAGGAATAACTAAAATAATACTATTTAAAAGTTGTGCAATCTCTAAAATTGGATATTGATCTGTTATTTCTTCACAATGCATTTGTAATAATTTCATTGTCTGATTTTGTGGTTTAACAATTTCTGTTGTTTTATCCTTTTTAGAAATGACCCATCTAAAGATTGGCATTAATAAATAAAATGTTGCTGTATTTAATGGTTGTTCTAATTCTTCTGATAAAGAAGATAAAATTTCTTTAACATTATCATAAATAACTCGTTCTTGTTTTTCATCTTCTCCAACACCTTCATTTAATAAGAAATAGGAATAAACTAATCTTTCTTTATATGCTAAAACAATAGTATCTAAACAACCACTAATAGCAAGTAAAATTGATAATGCAATTTCTTTATCTTTTTTATTACTAATTTCATTACAGCATCTAACAATATACAAAACTTCTTTTTCAAATAAATTAACGTTCTTCTTAATAGTATCTATAAATAGTTTACAGAAGAACTTACTTGTCTCATTCATTTTTTCTATTTCTTGGCAGAATTTAACAGCAATTTCATGTCCAGTTTCTCTTTCATCATTAAACTTTTGAACAAACCAAAGTAATTTATAATACGAATGAAGTAAATATTCATTTGTATAATTAGTTTGAAGTAATTCCATAATTTTATTAAATATTAAATCAAAATTACCAATAACAAATTGTTTCACTATTTCAAAACTTTTTGTTGTTGGATGAACAATTTTAAATACAAACATATTAAATAATTTTCTTTTTGGTGGAAGAACTGATGAAATAATAAATAACAATGGAATTTCAGCTTCATCAACTTTCTCTGAAACAAATGAGTTCATTAAGTTACAAATATTACCAATAACTAATTTATCAAATACAGTTTTTTTATCTTTCATTATACTATCAAAAACAAGACGAATCAATAATGAAGACATTGATGTAGTTGATGTACTCTTAAAAAAGTTTTTAATATTTTTTCTGTCAAGTAAAAATGGTAAAATCTTTTTAATATCTTCTTCACATTCACAAATATTTGGAATACAATTTAAATGACAAACATCAAAAAGTAATTCACTCAATTGATGTTTATATCCATCTTCTTGAATTAAAGCTAAAAATTCGGGTGAAGAATAAACTTTAAGAGCTTTTGCAAATGAAGAGAATAATTGACTTTCTAATACTTCACATTGTTTTACTTCTGGTTGTCTATAATATGCTAATAAATACCTAAACGCAATAATAGTTGTTTTTGGTGTATTTTTTGGAGACTTTACTAAATTAATTTCTGATGCAAAATATCCTGTTAAATTAACTTGAGATAATTTAGAAGTATCAGGTAATCCTAACATTTTTGGAAGTTCTGCGATAAAAATTGATTTTAATGGTTCTTTTAATGTATTTAATGATTGAATCATTTGTTGAATTTTGGTTGGAATAATTTCATTGTATTGAATTAAATGTGCAACAAATCCGAATAAAAATTTACGTAATTCGTCATTGGTCTCTCCTAAAAAGATTGTTGTAAATTTTTCAGTAAATTCTTGTGAAAGCTCTTTTGTACAAAAAGTATTTTCTAACCCATTTAAAATTTTAGAAATAACAATTTTCATATAAATTGCACTACACGTCTTTTTGTAGACTGTCAAAATTTTATTTAAAAAATATTTCTTATCTTCTTCATTTTGAATTTCTTTACTAAATGTAATGATAGAATCAATAGCTTTCTTTCTTTTATCTTCAGTACTTGCTTTAATACCTGATTCATTAGTTTTAAAGATAGTGTCTATTCTATCTTGCATCTCTATCTAATCATTTATTGTTCCCTTTCTTATTTTTTCTTTTGACTAGCTTACGTGTGAGGGTTTTTATGTTATACTTCATACTCTCTTTGACAAATTTTTCAATACAAAAAATATTGTGATTTTCTTTTTGTTTTTCGAAAAATTCCTTTTTTATTTTTTGCGTTCTATGAAATTACAAAAATTCCTTTTATCTTTTGTTACAATTTACTCTTAGCATATGGATGTTACTATTCATTTAAACAAAGAATTGTCATACCCAAAGACAACGCTTAGAAACAAAAATGAAAAAAAAACTCTCATTACTCTTTCAAAAAACGAAAAAATATCTGGAACAGTTTATATTTCTAAACCTTCTAAACCATTCATTCTGGTTTACAATTACTTTTTATTGGCACAAACCGTTTGTTTTACTTCTTGATATTTTATATAATCTTATCAAATAGATGAAAGAGGTAAAGTAATTCAATTTCATACGCAAACATCACTTCTTGCACCCCCAGGCAAAATAGAAGATGCAACAAATTTTCCATTTAATTTAACTCTCAACGCTCCTTTCGACAGTTATTTAAGTAATAACATTCAAATATCTTATTGTTTAAAAGCTGAATTTCTAAAAAGTTCAAAGATAGCTCAAATAATTCAAGTACCACCTATTGGGATTGTTGACCTTTTTATTAAAACATATTCTTCTGGTATAAAAGGTAATCCTATAGTTGATGAAATAACTCAACCAAACCTTAAACTTAAAGTAGAAATCAATTCAAACGTGTTTGATACAAAAGGCATTATAAAAGGAAAGATTTTATTTGAGGAGGTTAATCTTGAAAATCCTATTGAACAAGTAAATCTTGTTCTTATTCGTAAAGAACATTTTGAACAAGAAGTAATTGAAACAAAAGTATTTACTCTTGAAGTTATGGATGGGTCACCAGAAGACCTTATAACAATCCCTTTTAATATGTTCTTAAAACCATTATCACTTTCTCCAACCACCTCTTCTCAAATTAATACCTTTTCTCTTAGTTATGATTTAAGAATGAACCTAGAAACTGAAAAGAAACGTTTGTTTAAAAAATGGGAAGTTATTCTCTTCAGAAAACAAGATAGAAAAAAGAAGTCTTCTCAAAAATCTCATCGCCCTAGTAATCAACCTATTAAACTAACCCAACAATCATTATCAAGAAGTGATAGTGTAGAAAGTCTTAATGAATCTCTCAGAGAAAGTTCTACTAAAAATTCACTACAACTCCTTCAATTAGTAGACAACTCATCACATTCCAGTCTTAGTCAACACACAGATTTTGGAATTGAACTTGGAGTATCATCTAAGGGAGATTCTTCTGAAGATTTATTATAAATTTAGTTTTGGGTTTTTTCTTTTTTATTAATATCACTTTACAGAGAAAAAGAAACGAAATGGAAGAGAAAG